CTTAAGCAGTAATCTACTGTAATCTCCTAATTTCAGTCCTCACCTGTGAAGTGAGGTAATAAATACCTCCTCATAAGGTTGTCCTGAGGATTCAATGAATTAATATATGTCAGCCTCTTGGAACAGATAGTTAGCACTTAAATGTTCTCGTTTTTATTGCTGTTGTTATTGATAATATTCTTCCAAAATTCCCAAGAGGACTATTATACGATGTTCTCATTTATAAGAAGTACTTGGGCATAAATAACCACCATTATGGCATAAAAGGAGAATGTTGGTGAAAACATTTTAAATGTGGTATATACCCTATTGGAAAAAAATGAAAAACAGGAGGCCCAATCAAATGGATGTACAATAGTCCTAAAAATAAAAGTATCATTGCATATTTACTCCTAGATGCAAAAAGCATCTCGGATGTTAGGCTAGGATACTGACTTTAGCAGTGCTTCTTTATTCAGAAGATTCATTTTAACATCATGACCGTAACTTTCTCTTCTTTCTCATGATTCATCCTTTTCTCCCTCTAATCATCCTTGATTATCTTGCAAGCCCCTTGCACTTTCTGGGTTTTTTTAATATGACTAGTTTTTCTTCAGGACACTCCACTGCTACAAATTCAAATTATAATCGTAAATTAGTGCCAGGGTACATTTAAGCAATTAGAATGCTGTCATTAAATTCTGCTGTGTATGTAATCTAATAATGCATACAGGTAAGTACCAAAGGAGAGAGCTGGGTTCTCAGTGTCTACTGACAGTTATTCATCTGTTCTCCAATTGTCTCACCTCCTATTTATCAGATGTGGGTGCCTTGGAACCTCCATGCTTATTAGTGGAACCTGACCTATTTAGGCTCCCCGTCTTGCATCGCTTAACGACGTGGCTGTAGATCACCACACCTCTCATTTTCAGGGCAGTCTCATAAACATTCAGCCCCTTGCTTTGCAACCATGTTGGTGCAAGAGTTTATTACAAGGTTTCAGATACTGGCAGAATGGTGGAGCCAGTGTCACTGATATCTGGCCACGTGACAATACCATTCTTCCTGGGATCAAAAGAAATAAAGCCGAGCCTCCAGATCTCAGAATAGGGGCGAAGTAAAAAGAATTGGGTGGAGGAAGACTCACAGTTCTGATGGTATTTTTGTAGCATCGTCTGGTAGAACCTTGTTATCAAAAGGTTTGGTATTTTTTTTAAAGTATAGATTAATCCATTTAAAAATATTTATTGAATGTCCACTATGTGCTACACTAGTGTGCTGTGTGCACAGTGGTGACTTGGATCTCTGCCCATGTGCAGTTTAGCGTTTTATGAGATTAATATCATATTGTCTCAATAATTAGCTTTTGAGTTAGTTTGGTATTTGTTTGTTTGTTTGTTTTCCTTTTCTGGGCCAGGATCCATTTAGGATCACACATTGGTTTTAGTTGTCATGACTCTATAGTCTCCATAATGGGAAACAGATGTCCAGTCTTTCCTTGGCTTTTCTTACATTGGTATTTTACAAGAGTATAGGCCATTTGCCTTGTAGAAGGTCTCTCAATTTGTGAAATATGGATTTGTCTAATTCAGTGATTCCAGACATGTATTGTGTTGGCCACATCTTAGAATCGTTAGGGAACTTGGTGAAACTACAGAGACCCACAACCTGCCCCGTTTCACCCTATACCACTTCAGTGAGTCTGGGTCTCTCTATTCTTCAGTGGCTTTCGGGTAACTCTGCTATACACAGACGTTTCAGAGCCACTAGTCTAATATAATTTCCTTGTGGCAAGAATACTACATAAGTGATGTTGGGTCCTCCTCAGTGTGTCTCACAGGGAGGCTTGCAACGTTAGTAAGCTTTGTTTTTGGTTAAGGTGGTATCTACCAGATTTCTCTTCATCTTTTCCACTTTGTAATTAACAACTTGTCTGGAGTCAACACTTTGAGACTGTTTGACCATCCTGTTTCCCAACAGTCTTTGATCCAATGGTCTTGGTCTCCAGTGGTGATCTTGGCTAAGCCAGTTAGTACTGTGGTATATGGTGATTGTAAATGGTGATTTGCTAATTCTATCACCTTCAACATTTCTTAGCATTCATGGGTAAAGAATAATTTTCCCTTCTTCTCCATCTTTTTAAAAAAATGGTTTTTATTATCAACATGGACTCATGGATTTCTTTTTATTCAATATATTATAATCCCTTCTCTCATTCATTTTGATGCTCTAAAGGCTCCCACTACCATCGCCTTGGAATCAGCCGTTTTTCCTTTCAGTGGAGAATGCTATCTAGAAACCAAGGTCTGGTTTCTATGTAAACTAGTTGGAACCTCATCTCAAGAACAAAAATGTGCACCACCTGTCCACCAAAAAGAAACATGCATTGCACAAACCATACCTGGGCTCCACCTTGAGAAAAGATGATCTGATTCATTTTCCCTTCTTTCTCATTTCCATGTCTGTATATTCACTTGTATTATCCTCCCACAACCAAACACTAATTCATAAACTTTCTCTTTGTTCCCATGTTCATTGTGATCAAGTTTCTGAGAAGCAGTCTGTCCAGATACTTTGATCCTACTGCTTATATCTTTGAAACTGTGATACACACCCACAAAACACCTGTACTTGTTTGCTCTTCTTGTAATGCTTTTTAGTTTTTGAGAGCATCTTTTTTTTTTTTTTTTTTTGTGGTACGCGGGCCTCTCACTGTTGTGGCCCCTCCCGTTCCGGAGCACAGGCCCCGGAAGCACAGGCTCAGCGGCCATGGCTCATGGGCCCAGCCGCTCTGCGGCATGTGGGATCTTCCGCGACCGGGGCAAGAACCCGTGTCCCCTGCATCGGCAGGCGGACTCTGAACCACTGCGCCACCAGGGAAGCCCTGAAAGCATCTTTATAGCTCATTTTTCTTTTTTTTTCTCAAAACTCTGTGAAGTTGGGGGACAGATATATTATTTTCCTTTTACATTTTTAGAAAGTGATGCCAGAAAAGTAAAAGATTTTTTGATAAGTTTGCATATATGTATATATTCTTGCATATATATATATATATCCTTGATAACTAGGTACTATGCTAACAGTTCCCATAGCTGATAAAGCCTGAGCTATGTTCTCATAGTTCAGAAAGCTAGGATTCCTTATTCTGAGTTGAAAATCAAGGCAAATCAACTGTATAGTGAATCGAGAAACATAAGAAGCATTCCCTTTTTAAAAAGGAAAGATAATAATACACCCATCGACATTTTCCTTCACTACTCTTTTAGTTGATATTCTACAAATGTTTTGAGTACCTGCTGTGTGCCAAGTGGTCCTGGAGATATAGCTAGGGTCAAAATAGGTAAAAACCCATGCCCTAAGGAGCTTACCTATTAGGCAGAGGTGATGGTAGATAGGGATAAAGACAATAAAGAAGATAAATAAGGTTATACTGCATTAGAAGGTGCAAACAGGGTCACCAAATACAGTTGCACAGGTTGCGCACTGCCCGACTCTGTGCCCAGTGGTACCATGGAGATCTTGGACCTAAGCAACTTAGGATGAAACTGACATTAAGTAAGATGGGAAAGGCTGAGGGAAGATCAGTGGTTCTGTGTTTTGTTTTTTTTTCTTAACTTTATATTGAAGTATACACATGGAAAAGTGTGTATAATGTAATTGTGCAGCTCAATGAACTTTCACAGATTGAACACATCTGTGCAGCTAGTACCACTATCAAGGAAACAAAACATTACCAGCACCTGAGAAGCCCCTAGCATGTTCTTCCAGTCATTAATCCCCCCACTACCATGACTTTTAATAGTATTTATTAGTTTGGGCTGACTTTGTATTTTATAGAACTGAAGTTATACAGTATATGCTTTTTTAATATATGGCTTCTTTTGCTCAAATTATGTTTTTGAGATTCATTCATGTTGTGTGTCATTACAGCCAGCTTATTCATTTTCCCTGCTGAATAGTAGTCCAGAGTATGAGTATACCACAGTTCATTTACATAAATGGGCATTTGGGTAGCTTTGCAGTATTTGGTTATTATAAGTCGTGCTGCCATGAGGATCCAAGTGCCTGCCCTTTAGTGGACATCTGTAAACATATCTATTAGGTGTATACCTAGGAGCAAAATTGCTGGGTCATAGTGCATGTGTATGTTACACTTTAGTGGACCTTGCCAAAAAGTTAGTCCAGAAGTAACTTAAGTTGGTCCACCAGCAGTGTATGGGAGGAGTGCTGTTTTGATGTGTTAAGTAAAATGTCTACTTTATTCAGTGCAATCAGTTATACCGCCATACATTGAAAAGAACTGCACCAAAATATTATTTGGAGACAATTTCGCTAGATGCCTAGGAAATGGAAATAAACTAACTAAAGTTTATTGGCATTATTGGCTTTGGTGAAGAAGTTGAATACAAGTTAAATACACTAAAAATAATATCCTACACAATGATAACCAGATTAACAGAATGAAAAAAGTGACCTATTTATGTTGGAAAATACAAAAAAAAATTATTAATCCTAAACCAGAATGTGTGTGATCTTCATGGTATATCATAAAACTTTATGATCACTGTAGAGCAATTTCAGTAGATACTTATTATGGTTCCAAAGAGGAAGGCAAATTACTATATCTTTTTAAAAACTTGACAAGATTATTTTTAAAATTTCTTTAAAAACATAAATGGAAAAGAATGGCAAATATTATTATGGAAAGTTAAAGCCTTTGTCATATCAGATACTGAGACATATTACAAAGGAAGAATGATTAAATGTTATGGAACTACACAAAAATTGAACCGTGTCCCAGAACAAAGTAGAGAACCATATATATAATGATATATAAGGATGTAAGAAGCAGCATGGTAAACAGTGCAGAGAGAATAACATTGAGAGCCTTTGGGGGCTACCCTTCATGGTAGGTGCTTTATATTTTATACTTTATGCTCTAAACAACTCAGTAAATTCAATATTATCATTCCCCATTTTGCAGAGGAGGAACTGAGTGAGTTTCAGAAAAAATTACTTACTCAGGGCCCCATAGATTCTTCCAATGTGGGAGGGCCAAGTCCAATCTGACTTCACAGGAGGAGAGAGCACATCAGAGGGGATGAGATTGAAGGACACAATTTCTGCCCCATAAACAAGACAAAGCATTAATATTGGTAACTCAAGTTGAACATAAACTCTCAAGTAGATAAGTGAACAAAGGGTCATTTCACAGATAGGCAATAGCAAATAATAGGCAATTGCAAGGGAAATACTCAAGTTGGTTAGTAATCAAAAAACGGCAAACTTAAACAATTTTGCAGTATTATTTTGTACCTTTCTTATTAGCAAAAATAATTTTTTTGATATGATGTGGTTTATAAACATATATACCTTTCCCTAAGATGAAAAATTAGTAAGCATATTTGATATCTTGATTCAGGTGATGGTTATATGAGTATATACACACATCAAAGTCATCGAGCTGCACAGTAAGAGTTGTGCATTTTACTGTATATACGTCAATAAAAAGGGAAAAAAACACTAAAATATGTTAACTGATGAAATCAGAATTATTTGTGAGAAAATAAAGGCGGAAATAATTAGATGCTGCCAAGGTGAAGCTTAGTATAAAACATTCAGCATGGAACTCCCCTGGTGGTCCAGTGATTAGGAATCTTCCTTCCAATGCAGGGGATGCAGGTTCGATCCTTGGTCTGGGATCTAAGATCCCACATGCCGTGAGGCAACTAAGCCCGCGTGCCGCAACTAAGACCCGACACAGCCAAATAAATAAATAAATATTTTTTTAAAAAATTAAGCATGGTGAGTATAAAGCATTTAGCCCACAAATTTGAAATTCAACTTCTCTTAAGAGCCAAAGCTCAGAGGAAGTTATGATCACTTACATAATGCACAGTGGTCATTAAGGTAAAAACAAAGCAGCTGCTGGAAGGAACAGTCATCACTGGTCCTAAAAATCAGAAACTGCTCCCATGTGTCCTTGTAAAGTGATATTATATGAGGTAATGAACTATGTCCTGAACAACACACCTAAAGTTATTAAAATAATGAGTTTCTGAGGGTTGTTTCTTATGTTGTTTCTCAACATAAGCCAGGGGAGTGATGCCAGAACACAGTTTCTAAAAGGCAGTTTTGGGCTTCCCTGGTGGCACAGTGGTTAAGAATCCGCCTGCCAATGCGGAGGACACGGGTTCAATCCCTGGTCTAGGAAGATCCCACATGCCGTGGAGCAGCTAAGCCCATGCGCCACAACTACTGAGCCTGTGCTCTAGAGCCCACGAGCCACAACTACTAAAGCCCATGCGCCTAGAGCCTGTGCTCCGCAACAAGAGAAGCCACCACAATGAGAAGCCTGCACACTGCAATGAACAGTAGCCCCCACTTGCCGCAACTAGAGAAAGCCTGTGTGCAGCAACAAAGACCCAAAGCAGCCAAAAATAAATTTAAAAATAAAATAAAATAAATAAATCATACCAAAAAAGGAGTTTTACCTCGGGAAACCTTATGGCTCAGTTTTGTAGGTTTCTGATGATTTTGGCTTAATCCAAGAATAAACTTAGTGAATCTAGAGCAATGGTTCTCAATTGGGGTGCCAAAAGGAACCCTTTGGCCATCTCTGGAGACATTTTTGGTTGTCACCGCTGGTGAGGAGGCTGCTACTAGACTCTAGTGAGCAGAGGCCAGGAATGCTGTTTACTACCCTATAGTGCACAGGACAGCCCCTCCCCCCAGTAAGGAATTATCTAACTCAGAATGTCAACTGTAGTGAGGTTGCAAAATGCTGCTCTGAAAGAACGAACGTGTAGTATTCACTGAGACCATCCTCCATAAACATTGCCTCTCACAGCTAGCTTGGATGGAAAAGGAGAAAGTACTGGCTTATTTACCTAGGGGGAGGAGGGAGTGCAGGTGTAGTAATTATGGCCTGGCCTTCTAGGGGCATGATAACCCCTAGAAAATAGGAAATTGCCCAGGGAAGTATGTTTCTATGGCCTAGCAAGAGCTGCCTTGTTAGACGGTAGGTAGGTATTAAGTGTTGATGCGGCCTCTCCCCCAGCCAAATTGTATAAAAACTAGTCAGCCCATCGCTCTGGGCTTCTCTGGCCTGGCAGAGTCTTCCTTCCATGTAGATGTGTCCACAGAAGGTGTTAGAGAGGCTCCCAGGAGCTGTATCAACTCACTCATTTGTGTCGTTATCCCATTGGTTCTTTGCACTCTTTGCAGGCTTACTGGTAAACTGAGGTGAGAGCATAGAAGCAGCATCCAAGGCATCGTTCTCGACAATTTTTGAACTTTAACCAGACTTTGAAGTCTGGCCCAGCTCAGCAGTGGACACAGTTGACCACCAATGTTAAGAAGCCCCTTTCTGTCCATCTGTAGTCACTGATTGTCTCTGGTTCACATCTTCCCAATGTCACCTCCAGAGGGAGAGAGCTTTCTTCCCTTAGTTCTAATTGGGAAAATCTCTAGGAAGGTCTTTGAACCCTCTTCCATCACTTGCCCACAGAAGGATGATTGTATTTCCATTAGATCCAGTAAGGAGAGAAGCAATTCTCCAAAAGAATGGGATATTCTGTTCAGAAAGGGGGTTGGGGTATGAGGCAGTCGAGACAAATAGATATCCAACCCTCCCGGAAAATACATCAATTTTTTAACAAACTTTTTATTTTGAAATAATTTCAAACTTACAAAAGAGTTGCAAGAATAGCACACACACAGACACACACAAAATGTATGTCTATCAAACCAAATTCACCAGTTGTTGACATTTTCCACATTTGTACTGGTGCTCTCTCTATCTCCCCCACCTCCAAATGTGTGTAATTTTTTTCTGAACCATTTGAGAGTAAGTTACACTGTTTACCCCTAAATGTTTCACGGTATCTTTCTTAGGATAACGGACATCTCTTACAGACCCATATAACAATGATCACATTCAGAACATTTAACATTGAACCTATACTGTTGCCTAATATGCAATCCAGTTGTATCAGTAGTGCCTTTATAACAACTTTTCCTCTTGATCCAGGATAACAGACTGCATTTAGTTGTTATAACTCTTTAGTCTCCTTTGCTTTCAAACAGTTCCTCAGCCTTCCTCTGGCATTCATCACACAGACATTTTTGAAGAGTATGGGCCAGATTTCTGTCTCAAGGTTTCTCGTGATTAGATCTAGTGATGTATTTTTGGCAGGAATACTACCCAGCGGTGTGCTAGAACCAGTTAGTACCATCTATGAGAGCCAGTTGTCACATCTCTTCCCAGCTCCATGTTCTGTAATATCATACTGGTAGCTTGAAATCAGCCATGGTGGGAATGTTCACACCATGGAAATCAACAAATGCTACACATCAGAGCTTGTACCCCCCTCCCGCATTTCTGGTTGTGAAACATTTACATTTAGCAGCACAGCACTGTATGTAGATGAAGTTATATCCTTCTCAGAACGTATCAGAAGGCACATGATGCTGGTCTTCCCAGTTATTGGTGATATCTCATCCCTTGGTTAAGATGATATCTGTCAGGTTTCACCATTGAAAAGCTACCATTTCCCCTTTGTAATTAATTCTCCCCTATGGAGAGATCCTTTGTGATTATGTAAATATTCTGTTTCTCATCTAACTTTCACCCAATAGCTTTTACTTATTGAAAAGTACTGCCTGAATCAATTAGTACTATGACTGTTGCAAATTGTCATTTTTTTAATCTCTTTCATTTCTTCTACATTTATTTGTTGGTGTTCTCCAGGTTGTTTTTGTTTTGTTTTTTGGTAGACTTAACCCTTAAATAGATGATTAGTAGTAGACTTGGAAACAAACGGAGGTTTCTCAACGTTTTTGTCAAGTAGTTCTCCATCTGAAGTATTTGTGACCAAGTTATGAATGTTCATTGCTATAGTGCAGAATAAGTTTCCATGGAGTACTATCAATACATCAATACAGAAAATGCAGAATGGGTCTTCAGAAATAGTTTTCCCTTTCTATGTGAGTGTGTATGTTTGATGGTGACATACTATCCTACCAAGAGTGGAGGTGGCATTTGGAGTCATTTTTCTGATCTTAACCTGATTCCAATTTTTACCAAAAGCATGCCTTTAGGACATTCCTGGTGAGATTTGCACTGGCGTTAACTAAAGCACGGTAAAGTCGAAAGAGTCCAGAGTCAACATGTGCTGCAGGATTGAGTGGTTCACTTCTTGCCCCTGGCCCTCAGTGCCATCATCTGTAAAATCATAGGAGTCATATTTTCACAAAAGTCCCTTTCAAGTTCTAAAACTTTCTTTTATTCTGCTTTCCTACTTGGGAGTCAAAACCTAGAGGTCACCTCATTAGCATGATGTCTTGGTCAACTGAGCCGACAAGTCAAGGACCAAAAGTGAGATGTCGAAGGTGGAGCCTGAACCCAGTGACCTCGTGATTGGATCCATAATCCTGTTAAATGAGCTTTGGGAGTATAGCACCAGCACTTGATACTGTTTCACGTTACCTCTGTGCATTCAGCCACATCCCCTGCTTCACTCCTCTGCTTCTCTTTGTTTATCCTTGACAATCATGGAAACCCACTGAAGGATCCCATTACCTCTGCCTTTGAGGTGATCCCTTTCTCAAGTGTTAGCTTTCCCAGTACCTATAAGGTTACCTCGGTTGCCATGGTTGTAAGTAAAGGAAATGTTCTATCCAAGAGCAGACTGCAGTTTCTAAAGAAGTTTTACCCTTCAGACATGAAACTCCAGAGTTCTGTACAAGTCTTAATTAAATTTCACCATATGAAATCGCTGAGAACCAGGCAAAATAGTATTTTCTTGATGAATCCATTGTTTGGTGAACTCCACGCACAAGTCAGGTAACCTTGACAGTCAGTTTTAGAACTTAAAATATGTTGCCTTGTATTTCCAGAAGAGTGGTTAACTGAAAGGTGAGGTGAGGCCTAAGATGTGTAAAAGAATGTGGGACTTTGCCAAACCACTCATTTTCCTCTCTTCCTGGAACGAGATTTCTCAAAGGCCCTACTGTTCCGTCCCACCATGGCCTTCCTCCACCAGAATTGTGTCGGGGCCACTGGTGTAGGTGAAAAAGTCCACAGGCAAGCTTCGTATTTGCCCGCCCTCTCCCCTGGAGCTGTCTGAGCCTGGTACTTTGCATGCTTTAGCTCCTCATTTCAGCATTTTTAATATTTGATGACCCTTCCGATGTAGAGAAATACTTGGCAACTTCCTTAAGAGTATCTGTTTGAGGTCTTTTAATTTACTAAACTGAAAAGTTGGTGTCTAAAATATTGTTCCAGTGACTCATCTTAAGGTTCTGAGGATGCAAAGGGGTCCCAGGGTGTCAGAGGAGTTGGCAATAATTTTCAATATACTTTATTCATCTTCCGTTTTTTTAAAAAAATATTTGAACTAACGCACTTCCCCTCTTCTCTCTGATTTTAAGACAGATTTGACTTTAACGAGTTCAGGTCTAATTTAAACTCAAACATGTTCTTGAGTTCCCCTGTGAAGCCCTCACCCCCATGCCCCACATGAGTTTCTATTTCTTTGAAGATAAGGAATTTAGCTTTTCTAAAATTTAATCTCGATCAACACCCACCTCACCTGTTGGATTAACTACTTCATCATCTTTCACCAGATTAGAAAACGACTGTCTCTTGCCTGAAAGACAGAGGGCAATTGATTTCTGCAATCAACCTGGCTTCTCTTTGATTTTATAATCTGTTTCTAGAGATTATAGGCGAGCTTTGAATTCCAAGGCTCTGGGCCTGTCAGCTTTTGAAGTGAAAAACTTTGAAGCAGATCCACTGCCTCAGGTTTCAGAAGGGATACTTAGTTGTTGGAGGATGAAATATAAGGGAAACACAGGTAATTATCACTGTTGACATTGTAATATCCCAGGTTTGGGGTTTGTTTATTTTATTTTATGGCTTCTAAAAGAATTATTGTTATTAGTTTTGGGGGTTTTTTTTTGTTGTGCTTGTTGTTTTTTTGAGAAGCCCGATCAAATCACTTGGCCACTTGAGAGAAAAGCATAAACCTTCCAGAAATTCTCACTGAGCTAACTGCTTCTATAAACCTACCTAGTGTGCATTTACTTTAAAACTACTTAATTACTCACCACTGATGCACTTGGTATAATTAGAAAACTCTCTAGCTCAGATTCAACAGGTAGAAAGAAGAAAGAAAAAAAAGTGTAGGGCAATTTCCAGACCCATGTTCTTAAACACTATGCACTTTCAAGTACTAATTATATAGGATTTATGCAAGGAGGGGGTTATATGGAATTGTTTTAGCATGTGTTAATGCTTATAAGCTAGCATCTCACCCAAAAAAAAAATTTTTTTAATAAAGACCCTGCTCTACTACTCAATGTTGTAATTTATCACATAATGCAATAATGGTATTTACATATGTCATCACATTTAACAAAATAAATGAAGGTGCATGTGAGTGTTATTGATAGAGGCAATACCCCGACACAGTTATGCATCCGTACCAGGCACCTGAAGAAGTATTCCTGTTAGTTACAGCCTCAAACTCCTATTTTTCTTTGGGATCTTAAAGGCTGAAAAAATAAAATAGTGGAGGGCTTCCCTGGTGGTGCAATGGTTAAGAATCCATCTGCCAATGCAGGGGACATGGGTTTCCGTCCCTGGTCCGGGAAGATCCCACATTACGTGGAGCAACTAAGCCTGTGCACCACAACTACTGAGCCTGTGCTCTAGAGCCCGTGAGCCACAACTACTGAAGCCCGTGCGCCTAGAGCCCGTGCTCCGCAACAAGAGAAGCCACCACAATGAGAAGCCTGCGCACCGCAATGAAGAGTAGCCTCCGCTCGCCGCAACTAGAGAAAGCCTGTGCACAGCAACGAAGACCCAACGCAGCCAA